ATATAACAAAGTATTGAGATTAACTTTTGTTATTGACCAAATACTTATTTTCCACCATAATTTGCAAATAAATTCTTTAAAAATCAGACAATTTGATTTTCTGGATTTTTTTTTCTCATTTTGTCTCTCATAGTTGAGGTATACCTAGGATGAAAATGACAGGCCTCTCATCTTTTTAAGTGGGAGAACTTGCACAATTGGTGGCTGACTAAATACTTTTTTTCCTCACTGTATACAGAACATCTCTCTGAAGTGTTTGGCCGAAACACCAAACAGATCATTGTGACATGTTTTGTTTTGACATGGATTAGTGTATGATAGGTGTTGAACAGCCTATAACGGGATGTCTGGACAGCATTGTAAGTGTCTGACGCTACATCTATTCTTTTCATCTTTGTATGCTGTTTTCTTCTTACACAGATAGATATTTAGATATTTGTGTATGGTAAAACAATTGTTTTAAAGGTTTTAAACTGTATTGCAATTGTGCTCACTTGAATAGATTTCCACAAAAAAAAAGTATACAAGTATTTCTTTTTAAAAATACAATCATGTTAAATATGTGCAGACTCGTGTGCTGGTGACCCATGGACTGAGCTACCTGCCCCAGGCCGACCTGATCCTGGTCCTGGTGGAGGGGCAGATCACAGAGATGGGCTCCTACCAGCACCTCATGGCCACAGAAGGAGCCTTTGCTGAGTTTCTGCGAACATACGCTGCCGTTGAACGCACTGACAGCAATGGTGAGAAATACTGCATACATACGAGTAATGGATTACATGTGAAGTGATTACGTAATCAGGACAAATAAAATGGTAACTGTGTTCCCTTTCAGTTACATAAAAAAGGCATATTAAAATTGGGGATTACAATCTTACAATATATTTGAAAAAAAAACATATATTGCAAAGCAGGCATCCCAAATCAAGTCTCACATCACCCGGTGAAAGGAATCTTACTGGGTGGGGATGGAATAGCTGCTTTCATTCTTTTCTTAAATATCTTATTTATTTGTATTACAGTAGGAGGAAACCAGATAAACTAAACTAAAATACTGCTAATGATTTTAATTCATGTATTAAACTTAATCGGTATTCTGTAGGCCTGGTACCTTTGTATTTGCTGTTTTTCTTCTTTTTGTCAGTGTAGTAGGTGGATACCTGATTTGTTTAAAATACGCTGTTAATCCATATACTGCAGTAACTTAAAAAAGAGCATATGGTGTTTGTTTTTTTAAAGGTAAACTACTAATTGTAAACAATATGTTTTTAAAGTAAACTTCCCAAATATTCTGGTTTAGTTGCATTACATTGTTTTGTTTCCTGCCTTCATTAAGAACCTGTGGCAAATAGTGGAACCAAAGGAGCAGAGAATGGCATTGTTACTGCTCTTCTTGGGTGAGTAAAACTTAACAACAATGGAGCTCTACACCATAGAGAAACCATACAGTATTTATCAGGCTTTGGATACACAACCACAATGCCTTTTAGTGCAAGAAATACATTTTCTATTCAGAATATAGAATTGTAAAGAATGGGCTTCATGTAAGAAATGTTTTGGTATTCTTATCCTTCTCTTGTTTTGTAAGTGTTACAAATCTTACAAACTTGAAGTAAATTACTTGATTCTGCCTGACGATAACCTCCTGTTTAAGAGGAGCTGAAAGTTATTGAGATTTCATCATTAGCATTATTATTTTAATACCGGAAAAGTACCAAAAATATTTGTTATGTAGATCGAGCACAAGGCTCACTATCATTAGACTTACACTTAACGTTTATTTCAGCATTATATATACTAACTGTTCGCCTTATTTAAGGTCTATGTTTTAACATGTTGCTTCGTGTTTTGGTAGTAGTCAAAGTGTCGACAGTGTGTCCAAACTGTCTCAGACGGGTAACCAGGAACTAAGCAAGGAAGCCAAACACCCCGAGCTGGGCAAACTGACAGAGGCTGACAAGGCCAGCACCGGACAGGTAGGTGGAGGCTTTTGAAACCCCATCAGAGAAAAACATTCATCATGGTGATGGAAAATCTGAATGAGCTTAGCAATAAGAGACTGACGTGTTGTCTGGATGTTTATTGGATCTTGTACAAGGAGTTGAGAGTATGAACAATACAAGTGAATACAGAGGTGCAGTCACATTGTTCCACCATCAATTCTGAAGCACAGCCATTCTCTCTTGATGTTTATCCTAAAAAAGGCAAGCTTTTAACTTCATCTAAAGATGAGTCAGCTCAATTGGTTCTCAAATCCTAGTCAACATATTCCTAGCATTCCTGGCCTTGCATGGCAACAAAACACTGGGGCAGTCTGAATGCGACAGCTCTTTGCGTCTTTGTCTTGTGACTCTATGTAGAGATAAGGATCCAACACCAGGAGAGATATGTGACCTACCTAAATGTTTTCTAGCATGAGAAGATAAGATGGTAATCTGTAGAAGGCTTGAATATATTTAAACTCATATCTAGGAATTCAATACAAAATGACTTACAGTACCTTGCAAAAGTGTTTACCCCCCTTGGCGCTTTTCTTTTTCTTTTATATATCCCCACAGTAGTAGAACATAAACTTGTTTTAAAAATATGTAAAAACTGAAAAGCAGTGTGTGCCGATGCATTCACACCCTTTGCTATGTAGCCCCAACAATGACCTTTATAGTTCAATTATGAGTTGAATAAAGTACACCTACAGTGGGGCAAAAAAGTATTTAGTCAGCCACCAATTGTGCAAGTTCTCCCACTTAAAAAGATGAGAGGCCTGTAATTTTCATCCTAGGTATACCTCAACTATGAGAGACAAAATGAGAAAAAAAAATCCAGAAAATCACATTGTCTGATTTTTAAAGAATTTATTTGCAAATTATGGTGGAAAATAAGTATTTGGTCACCTACAAACAAACAAGATTTCTGGCTCTCACAGACCTGTAACTTCTTCTTTAACCCTTTGGAGTCGACCGTCACGCCGGCGTGATCAGATCACATGACCTGTTCAAGCCGGTGCCGCATAAAAACAACAGTCCGGACAGCATTGCCGTGTATTTCTGTCGAAAGTACTGGCTTGAAACTATATCCCAGTCTTTGTTTCATGCAAAAAGACCCAGTAAACACGGAGATATGATGATATAAAGTTAATACATTTCAAAAGTATGAAAAATGGAAGCACATATTTGAATATCTTCGCCGTATTTGATCAAATTATGAAACGGAAAATACTGGAAACTGTAGATCCTGCTCAACAGGATGTATATGTGTATTTCTGTCGAAAGTACTAGCTTGAAACTATATGCCAGTCTTTGTTATAATCCAAAAAGACCCAATAAACACAGAGATACGATGATATAAAGTTAATACAAATATATTTCAAAAGTATGAATAATGGAAGCACATATTTTAATATCTTCGCCGTATTTTATCATTTTACGAAACGGAAAATACTGGAAACTGTAGATTCTGCTCAACAGGATGTATTTACCAG